CTTTCTTCTTCTGACTGAGAGAAGGAGTGCCAGCATTGCTCATCAAATGCTGTGTGTGATGAAGTGCGGCTGTCATTTTCAAAATGGCCCGTCCTGCTTAAATTCCCATTTGAGGGCATGTGTGTGATGCAGCTGAACAAATTTATTTTTCCAGCAGCTTAGTGGCTAATGCTGCCTAGACAAGAATGTACCGGAAGCTTTCCAAGGAAGGAGCTCAGAGACCTTTAATGGCTGTTTGATACCAGACCACAAGGCTAAGTGTTTGTTTTTGTGCATAAATACGAAAACAAATAAAACTATGAATTATATGAATTATTAGTTTGTATACTCTATACTGAGAATGTTGGAGGCACTTTATCGTGAGTCATTCTAAATCTCCATGTCAAACTATTCTGTTGTTATTTCACAGTACGGCGCTAACAGACTGAAACAGTCAGAAAGACAGAGGCATCAGTTATTCAAGTTGAAGTTAGTCATCATAACCATTCGCCCCAAATCCTCTGTTTACCATCTGCTGACTTTCAATGACACTACACACAAAAGAGAAACTGGCAAACTCTCATCACGCTCTGCTCGCAGGGAGACTGGAGGATTAGAGAATCTCCAAGTGAAAAGGGCTCGTGTCCAATTTTTTCCAATGGGAAGCAATCAAAGTGTTCAGGAATCTAAAGAACCAGGGCAGCCGCTGACATCAATACAGCAGCGGGGTAACCCCATTTGCTTTAAAAACATGAATGAACAAAGTAACATGAGTAGAAAGAATGGATGTGATTCCTACAGTACGGATGTTCAGCCTTTGGAGAGCATTCCGCTCTCTCTGCACACTTGAACATAACTTTTGACGAAAGTGCATGCTTCAGCTAAGTGTGGATTTACTCGGCTTTGTGCATGAGAGGACAAATGCAGTTTTCTGACACAAGGGAAATGTGTGATTCAATGGGTAATTTTCTAAAGCTCCTTTGCTGCAATTCTTACTCGCTGGCAGGAAAACACACTGTGCATCAAAGATACACTCGATTCCGTTTAGAAAGCAAGTTCTTGTGTCGACTCAGCAGTTACAATGAGGCAGCACTGGAGCATTTAAAGCGCTACTAAAGAAATATTCTTCCATGCTGAATCACTGGAACATTCTCGGAGATGATTTGAACTCTAGATTATACAAACTAATGATTCTGAGTCAAGTGGACAGTGGCGTCCTAAATAGAGATACACATGTTTATAATTATATCTATCAATGGGACATGGTAGAAGACTGTCATCATGCTTTAAACTTTTTTGATGTTATCTCATGGAGTTTGTGGAGGGATCTGACCCACATGTGTCTGTACATGTCTATCTAGAGAAAAGTGTCCTCCTTTCCTCTGCCAATATGAAATTACCCATATGCTCAAGTAAAACACATTTCGGTTTTAAAGGGTCCCGTGCAACAGAAAGGATACTACAAAGGCATTCCCCTCATATCTCCTGTGCTTGACAAAGCTGATTTGCATATACAGTAATTAAACACATTTGGAGTCGACTGAATACAAACTATTTGCCTCTAAGGTACTCTGGAGAAATGCAATCAAAAGTGAACTAATTTGTCTAGATGTAAAATGTTATGATTAAGCCTGTATTCCCTTGCCTTCAGGACACCATTCAGATTTCCATTTAATAAGAGTAATGCAGTAAAAGTTTCTAACAACCATTCAAAGAAGGTATACAGGATTAATTCCACAGGGCGGGACATGCATGCACCCTTACATGTATAATTTCACTGAGAATGTAGCATCAGCTTTTGCAGGACGTCTCCCTGCAGGAAAATGTGTGATGTGTGATTTTGTGTAACTGAAATCATGTCCATCTGTCCATCTGCCAAATCCGAAAACACTGTTAAGGTGCGAAAATGACTCGCTAGTGTTACGTTTCTTTATTCCACACTGTAACGCATAGAAAAGGCTAAATCAACCTTATATTGGTCAACAAACAGCAAAATCGAGACATATAAGATTTAAATGTTAAAAAAATCACTATTTTATGATCATGCCACTGTATGACAAAATAAAATATTATTACCATAATATACTATATATTATATAGGATGCGTTGTGTGAAATATATTAACATTTAAATATGTTTTTGAAGTTTCCCAGTGTTAACTGTTCATTTTGCTCTTTTTAAATGCAATGTCAAAAAAGATTTTGATGACTCAACTCATCTTTAACTCACACAGATGTACATAAATATCATATATAAAATCGCACTACACCATTATCGGTGATAGTTGCTAACAGAGAGATATATTAGGACGTGTCTGTTTGGAAAAAAACTTTTCAAACCACTGATGTTGTGCTCTAATTTATTCATGTCTTCCTAATCCTCTGCCTCTCCATCTAATAACGCAGGTGAGTGAGGTGCAGGGGGGAGACCAATGGTCTTCTATACAGCTCAGTTTCACCCTGTTTTCTTTAAGCCACACCCACTTTTGAGCAATCCAATCAACTCTGACAGATTTGTTACAAATCCCTGTCTTAACTAAACCCCACTGCATTTTCCATTTTAGTAGAAAATATGTCACATTACATAAGAAAAGGCCCTCTAATATCCGTTTCTGAGTGTGTAGAGAAAAGTTGTTCTCTTTACTAGAACTTTCGCACAAGCACATAATCAGTGCTTTCAGATTTATCCACTCTGGAGAGTTCTTTGAAAAAGCTCAAGTTTCAGTTCTGTAAAAACACCGGCTTATTGTGGATGGAGGGCCAGAATTGAGGGAAAACAATGTGTTTTATTTAGCCAGTTAAGTGTGGACGTACTCTGAAAGAGACAAAGAGGAAGATCAGTCTGCGTCAGGTACTTCCTCCTATGAGACGGCACATTAAAAGATTTATTTTGCTTTAAAAGCTTTATCATGTGGGCCAAGGAAACATAACACATAACACATTGGGCCAGTTTCTTTACCATGTCTTTACTGATCAATACATTGGTTTGGTTAATAGAGTTTGAGTAAATGGTATTGACTTAATTTGACCTAACATGACTTAGCATGCTTGCCAAGCTATTTTGTTATTGAGCGTATTGAACACTTCAGTGTGTGTAAATGTGTTCATTCATTCAGCTGGGTGCAACTAATTGACACTGATCATGAGAGGAAGCAAGGAAGAAAATCAACATGTGCAATTCCCGCTGAGTTTCTGTGGAGCACTAGAGTGAAAAAAACTGAAGCAGTAAAAACTTTGTTTGGAAGCTTATCTCTTATGTTCCAAAGTCTAAATGTTAAATCTGTTCAATTCTTCAGCAAAGTTCATAAAGTTCACTCTAAAGTAATTCAGATATTGGAGAATATTCAAATACGGGCCAAGTTCTGTGTTCTTTCATTTACATTTCTGTGTAATCAGGTGTCACCGTGCACACATACACATGGACACACAGATAAATACACACACGTGCAGAGAGAGAAAGGGATCAAGGACTCTCGGCTTGTCCCTATCTCTTTCCCGCTTTCATGTGCTGATGAAATGAAGCCCTAATGTACAACAGGTGTGCCATCTACACACAAGGCTATTTATCCCTTTTAATCACCTTATAAATTGAAGAAGTGAATGAGCTGTCTTTGCTGTTCATCAAATATGAAAGAAGTAAGGAATAAAAGAAGCAAGATATGGGAAGTTTTGCCAGATCTTTCACAAAAATTTCCCAAAATAGGAATAGGATTAGAGAACCTGACAAGAAAGGGAAAAAAATAATTTTTAGTAGATTTCCCTATGTAACTGGGCCTTGGTAATCTCATTCACAGCTCCCCCAGCAACCACCCTCTTAATCAGGGCGGTTGAAGCCCAGTGAGCATTTAAAGATCAGTTACAGTGACTCCTTAACAGCACCCTGCTCCACCATTGTGCTACATTGAGAGAAAAGGTGTAATGACTTAATCCAACAGTGATTTGATTCATTTCACTGCTTCCAAAAAGTATAACAGGTCTACAAAGATGAATAGTAAGAAGGGACTAAAAGAGGCTCTAATTAATATTTTTATATTGGCTGGATCAAATGAGATTGTATATTCGTTCGCTCGTAGTGACAGACACAGAGAAATTTTACCCAATTCTGCCGCTCCCCTCAGCTCTACGGAGAATTTTAGCATCTTTCAGCACATTGTTTTGGCTTTCTGTGCCATGAATTCACTGTTTCAGTTCTCTCTCAAAAGAAAAACACACTCTGTGATACCTGCCCTGTAGTGAACAGCAGCCAGACACAGTTTGTCTACAGTCACAGCCAGATATTTCCCTTAGGAGTTAGTAGAGACCAAAAACAGAGCATAAAGGACAGTGAGTGCTGGGCTTACATTTGTCAAATAACATACATCCTATATACTGTATATCCAAATATATCAATTTATAATACAAAGCATTAGTTCAATGGACGGAAATTTGTAGCCACAAACAACACCTCCTCAGTAATCAAGCTGAACATAAACACAAATATGTCACTGAACAGACAAAGCAACTGGCTTTCAAACCTCAAATCCTACAGATAGTAAACAGAATGATCAACATTCAACCAAGTCTAATGTGGTTACTATTTAAAATGATCACAACAAATATCATTTACCACAGCTGTCAACACAGTGTGCAGTACAGTATATGAGGTGCAGTACTTGCTAGCAAATATCTACTCTACTCTTTTACTGTAAATCAACAGAGCCAAGCAGGACTTGCACTGAGTTGACACTCCACTAAAGCAGAGAAACTATCCAAATGCAAGCAGATAAAAGGCAGGATTAAAGTTCTCCAAAGAAATGTAAGACCCAAGTGACGAATCATAATGATGGCAGTGTGAGCTGCGGGAAAGTGTTATCGGTTACTGACTGAGTGTGTATGCTTGAGAGCGAGTGGTGTTAATGGGGCATCTGTGACGGGGATATGCACTAATACATGCATTGCCATGTGTTCATGTGTGTAGTGATTCATTTTTGGCCTCAATCGAAATTAGAAATGCTCTTAGATGTGTGTGTCCATGCGCCCTACCTGTTCAAAATGTGGGACGTGAGGCTCCCTCCTGTGAAGCTGGAGCTGCTTGTCAATATTGTCCTTCAGGCACTGACACACGCGGCGCTTCTGGTCTGCTGAATAGGCTTCCAGGCTGAGCAGGCAGTCACACTTCTAGAGGCACAGAAAGAGAGAGAGATATAGAGATATAGAGAGGGAGAGAAAGAGAGGGGGGGGGTGAGGAGCAAGAGGGGTGGAGGAAAAGAAAGTGGGCAATTAGGCATCGTCTGTCAGAGAAATAAAGAAATGTCTCCTGATCCTTGGACAGCCAAAGCGCTCAAGATGGGTAAAGCACGAGAGAACAGAATTAGAAGAGTACAACAGAAAGTATGAATGTGAAAAATGAATGAAAGGCAAAAAAAAAGTTTTATTTTCTTGTCTTATGGGCCCTCTTTAATAAAACCGTAAGACTAGAGCTACCAATGTCTGCCTGTGTGTGAGTGTCTCTGTGATGAGAGACCAGCGAGTGCCTTCAAAGAGGATAATGACTAACAAAAGAGCTTAATCAATCCCCAGTATCAGAGGTGTTACACCTTTATGCGTGTGCACGAGCATGTTTGTGTGTCTGTGTGTATCCAGAAGAATAAAATAAACACAATTATACATAACTACCACTGGCCCCACTAGTACAGTACATGCTGTCATTTTCTGCATGTGTCATCTCAAACTTAAATCGTTGCACATCCCGTTACCATCTGAACTCTGTTTTCATGACACGACACACTGTAAAGTGGCACAGCTCTGTGGGTAGAAAAACGCTAGCATTAGTGAAATTAGATAATAGTCAGTAGCCACTTCAGGCAGAATTTGATATGCTGACAAAATAATTACTTGACTAATGGCAAGATGGTACTCCTAAAAGAGGACAAATCAATACACCCCTGCTGGGAAATACATGAGAATAAATATTTGTCAACCAGTGGTTAAGTTGGTAGAAGTTTGATCAAATAGCTTTCCACTGAAAACGACATAAATACCCCTCGGCTAACTCTCCAGGACGTCCTGAATCTGTTTGATCTCAGTGATGTCCATATCAAATCTTTAATGGATTAATGGGCTCATTTGTTTTTCGTCATGATTCCAGCAATGTATTTTTGATAAAAGACAGATCTTGTAAGAAAAAAAATCTTTCATACATCAGATGAAAGTCATGTAGCGTTTTGCTCCAAATCCTAATTTGGAAACAGCTTCCGAGCAGACCTCTTAAAAAGTTTAAGGAGGAGTGTTAATGGGAGTATGATATCTAGGATAAGAACACTTTGTGCCAATTAGTGTCATTTGAAGTCTGGGTTGTTTCTGTGCTGCGGAGTTTTAATGGCTGAATGAAAAACAAGAAAAAATGTTCTGACTTTAAAAATATTTTACATACAGCAGACAAGTTTAGAACTCTTTACAGTGATATTGATATTTACATCTGTTGCGGCAATTGTTCTCAAAATAAATCATTTCTAACTGATGGGTAATAATATACCTCATTGACATTGTTGAGCCTACTTCATAATTTTATATACATTTTACACTTGCAACAAAGCATGGTTCAGTTTTTATTGGAAAGAACTGAATATAGTAAATGTCTTCTCATTTCATGTCCTTATACATCTACACTCATATAATCCAGTGCATACATTTGTAATATGCAAATCTATGGCTGCAGGCCAAATTAAAGGATCATGTAATCACATTATATAATACCAATAAAAATATACAATACCAAATCACTATCCAGTCATTCACCTATACACATCTTATCCACCTTTGCTGTTATATCACTGAGGATGAAGAATTGTCTCTATTATTCTTTATTTTTTCTGAATAACCCACAACATTAAAGGAACCTACTGTTCTCAAGCAAATTTTTTTCTTTTTCTCCTCTTTCCAATTTGATCATTTCCATCTACCTCGATTGTTCTTCTTCCGGCGATGTCAGGCAAAACATTTGTGTCCTGACATTTTTGGGCACAAGTCAGGCTATAAATAGAATTTTTTCCATTTTGTGCAAGTCTTCAGAGATTGACTGAAGTCCTCAGGGCTTTTTTTGACGCTCACTGCCCTGGTCATTGGTGAATCATGATGCTACTTTATTTGCCTGTTTCCTGGCTGCATGAGCTTTTGCATGCCCTGCTGTGTAGCTATGTCTTGGACTATCTGTCTCTTTCAATGTCACTCAATGTCCTGTTGAATATGGGAATGCTGCTGTTGTAGGGTCTACTGGCACAAAGTGTTTGGTGGTTAAAGCCTTGTCACTGCTAGTGATGTTAATGCAGGGTAAAAAGGCATTTAAAGCCTGCGTCAGTGGCAGCAATGTAAAGACTGTTTTGCTTTGATGTAGCATAAAATGTATTGCGTACAAGGCAGTGTGTTGTGTGTTAATGTGAAGTATTATAAAATAATACAATGCACAAATGTGAGAAAGCAGACAAACACGGAACAGAGGCAAAATAACAAAAGAAAAACATGGGGTACAGTAAGAGACATATTTTCAATTCATAAGTAGAGACATGAAGACATAAAAACAAGAAAGAGAAGCAGGTTAGATTGCAAAAGGATTTATGAAATTGAGCCTGACTGTTTTCAATTGCACCAAGAGATGATGAAATAGGGGCTTTTTCAGAGCGGACAGAAATCAATGTTGATGTTCTTTGATATCCATCATTTGGACTGAATCTGAGTCTGTAAGGGTTCAACAGAGGCCATAATACTTAGAACGCATGCACATGCACACACACACACACACACACACACACACACACACACACACACACACACACACACACACACACACACACACACACACACACACCAACCTCAATGTAAACAACTAGCTCCCGGGCAAACCCTTATTGCTGCCAGTGAAAATCTCATAATTCTATCTAAGGTTATTTTTGAGTCCTCGCGTCAAGGATTACATGCGATTCTGCAGATCAGGAAAAGTCAGCAAAAACTCTTTAAACCCCAGTGGGTAAAGTGGAAAATGCTTAGTCATCAAGCTGGCAATAATTGGATTCTGAAAAGTATACTCTTTGAGGAGAGACTATTGCTCACCTAAAATGTAAGATTGTGACCAAAAAGGAAGTGTTTCTAATTGTTTGTAAATGTTTTGAGCATATATCGTAATTTAGATGCATCACATCGATACACCTGGCATACCTGAAGCATTTTTTCACCATTTTGGTGCAAATTGAAAACTCTCAAAAACTGTTGGATGTTTTCCATAAATATTTTTCACAGGCATTCACGGTGCCCACAGGATTAATTGTGGGACACATTGCCTGCGTTACACGTGCTTGGTGGTCACATAACATCTTGGTTTTCATTTTGGCGCCCATGTTGGAGCGGCCTGCATGAGATGCGCTTCTCACTCATGGCTCGAGCCTCGCTGCTGCAGCGCGTCATCTGGAGTTTTAGCCATCGTGCCTATTTTTCACAGTTGACGCGGCATCTCAACATTAGAGAATTTGGTGAAGACATCCATGGTGCCAAGGTTATGCATCTTAATGACTTCCATGAATACCATACTTCCATAAATTCTTTAATTTGTACAAGGGTTTTTTTATGGCCAAATACCTGCAACAATTATGACATTCCCATCACGCTTAGCTGCACTGAACAACTGATGTAGACAATGAAAATGGAGGGAAAGTTTGTTGAAGTTTGTGTTTAGGCTTGGAATGACAGGGTTTTTTTGTCTGTATTAGCTCATGGCATTAGATAGAGGACTAATTGACATAAGTTGATTACATGGTTGCCTAGAGACAGCAAAGTAACACTACTTATGCATGCCCAAAATTAAGATGTGCGCAATCTGAATTTCAACCTCGCAACAGACAAACAGATGCACACAAAGACAAATATTGACATTTGTCATTAATATATTTTGAAATTCCACACAGCTAGTATGTGAAATACTTGTGTCTGTTTAAGATAAGATTTCCTGTTTCTCTGTCTTCCATAACCCCCGAGCGTTAAGATGAAAAAACTGTAAAAAATAATGCGAAAGGCTCAGGCTTTCCAGAAAACATTGCCTCATATGGCCAGGTTTTTCCAGACAACTCCCCACTGTCCCACATTAGAGGAAACACATCTGCGATAAAGCAGTTCAGGGTCCCAGAGGCATACATGCACCTGCATCCACACACATACACACACACACACACACACACGCACAGATATACACACACAATCACCCAGCTTTAAAATCTGCACTCAGTACCTACCTCTGAACTCTTACTATCAATACAGTCGTACTGTAGCTACATGTTTACAAAATGTAATCATTGAGAAAATAAAAACAAACAGGACAACCAATTGGGACTCTCTGCTTTGTGAGTCATAGTGAGCCAGAGGTCTCAGAGCTGCAGGAGGGTTTACGTCCCTAATCTGTCAAACAGAGGAAGTGTGCATGTTTACACAGTCTTGGTGTGTAAATATGAGGCGGACAGTGCATACTACAATGTAAACCACTTAATGACATCATGCACATTTTGTCTTGGTGAGAGATAAAAGATGACAGATGCAGAAGACCATACAGGTCATTCCTAATGAGAGTAATACAGCTTATACAGTATCAATTTCCATTTCTCTTGTGTATTTTTGTTTGCCACTATTGCAAACTTATGATTGCTGTGACATTCAACTGTGTATTGCTGCATCTCTCTGGGATGGTTTTCCTGACAGTGACTTGCACATCATTGCATTACATCTGTTAAAAATAATCAGTCATGCCAGCAAATGAGTAAACTGTTGACAGCTGGTTGCAGACCATATGTTTTAGGCAGGAATAGTCTGGAGCAGGCTGGAACTTTCGTTAATGTTCGCGCTGCAATTTATTTCACAGGACAGCTGTCTCCTAGTTTGAACCAGATTTAAGAGATACTTCAGTTTTGTGATGCATACAGAATGTTTGTCCGTCAGTCAGGGTTTAAAGGAACTAAAAGCGAAATTCAGCTGAATACGATAACATTATATTCATGTTGGGACCAAATCGCCTTCAGCATTTGAACTGTTTTGAGGGAATTCACTGGAAACTCCATGACTCGGTGGAAGCAAATCTTTAGAGATTTTCATCTTAAGGTCATGTTGCTTCGTGGCATTAAGCAGCATCTGGGCATAGACCC